CGCCACGCGGTTGATAGTCCTAGTCCTATGTTTGTTGACAAGACTTCTCGTGCGCCTAGTGTGTTTCTCTTACCTGGCTGTGCCGATCTTTACTCCCAGTTCTTGCACTCTTAGCAAAGATGTGGATGTTCTGCTCCCAAAAATCCTCCAAATGTCCTACCTCTTTAATGGCATTAACAATGTCTGCATGATCCATGGGCCGCCCTCTTTAACTATGGCAGAGCCGGCTAGTGTCGGCTCATTCATTGCCGGTGACACATGCATGACCTGGGACACGAAGGTAACTCCACCCACAGTGGAGTTTTGTAATGACTCGATCCACTGTCTGTGTACAAAGACTGCCTCAACCTGCCGGATCATGCTTTGGAATCACTCAGCACACACTCATGAGAATAGTCCTGCCATGCTAGCCACATAAGAGCTTGTGTACCGCCATCATCTCCATTATTATGCTGCCAGTAGTCATTCAGAAAGCAACACTGGCCTCCTGGACTGTTCTGCCTGCAGAGCACGCATTAAATGCCCATGCACTTTTTTTGGGCCTTGTATACATATACAATTCGATCCCAGCTGCGGGCCATGCGCCTTGCATTGGTTTTGACAGTGATATCAAGAAAGCTGACCGTCCAGAAAGCAATGGCAAACTACTGGATGTAAATTTGCCTAGAAAAACCACACAACTGCCTGGGGCTGTTGTGGTTCTTTCTGCAATGTCCTGTAAAGGATACACAACTAACCTAATATATATATATATATATTTATATAAAAGGATGTTGGCTGTTCAAGTAGTGACTGTATTGTATATGAATGAAGACACAGTTTAAGTTCTTGATATTTCATTCACAGTCAGGTAAAGACTAATAGCTAGTCCCTTGTATCTGAAGGTCAGCTGAGACATTTTATATTCATGCAGATATTTAGTTTGCAATTGAGACTTGTACCAGAGATGGCATCCTGCATGCTCAGTTACTTTCAGTTTGGAAATGAACTGTAATGAACTTACAACAGGCATCAGGATACATATGAAGTTGGACATTATGAAAACATTTCCTTATAATGTAATTTCTAATAGAAAACTCAGTTACTAGCGAAATGTGATCAGGACATGAACCCCCACGGGAAATGTAATGTATCTTATGAAGCTAATGTGAAGATATTGGCTGTTTTAAACACCACACTGATTTATAAAGAAAATTACGAGATTGCATGATTTCTGGAAGAGTGACCAGTGTAAGGTTGGACACAAGATATCTCTACACCTTGAGCCTGAAAATATGGCTGGCTACAGAAATGGCAGTAATTATTCTTGCTGCAGGCCTTGAAAGGTGGGACATTCTTCAAAGGACTTGATACATTTTGATGATGCAATCCATGACAGAAATCCAATACACATGTTAGTCATCATATCTAATGATTCTGACAGTAGTTGTGGCTGACTTGATACTCCAAGTGAGTGAGTCTAAAATTTGACTATAAAATTTAACAAATGAAAGACCTATTTTTTTTTTTTTTAAATGAATCTTTCAGCCAGTCTTTCTCAAGGAAGGAACAGCAAATTAAAGAGCGGAAACAAGGAATACTTAGCTGTAAATATAAATCAGCAATCTGCAAATAGTAATTCAAACATTAGCTTGAGATATGTTTGTTCAGTGGGAATGATTTTGGTTTAAATCCTAACCCTTATTTGTGAGCAGCCTTTTCCTGTGAGGCTTTCTAGTCATATTTATTGACACAGCTTGGGGATCAACTGACAACAGTAAAGCAATATGGCTGCTTGCATAGAACATTTATATCAGCCCCAGTATGAGATACATTTGTATGTTATTTTAGAGCCCTACCCCAGCTGTAGTCAGGGCCCTAAATATAACCTAATGGTTTAACAGGGTTTCTGGGACTTGGGCCATGGCAATTCTCATAAGAGTGGCAGTTTGTGTCACTGGGTGTTTTGTCACCAGTGTGGATATGTCCTGAAGTTGAGAATCAAGAAAAAAACATGTGAAACCAAACACAAAATAGCCGGAAACATGATAAACAAGTCATCATGAAATCAGAATTGATACATCCTAAAGCAGCGGTTTTTAACCTGTGGGTCGAGACCCTTTCACACAGGGGTTGCCAAAGACCATCAGAAAACACATATTCACTGAAGTTATGCAGTAGCAATAAAAATAATTGTATGGTTATGGGTCACCACAACGTGAGGAACTGTATTAAAGGGTTCCGACATTACAAAGGTTGAGAATCACTGTCCTACAGGAACACAACTGATTAAAGGCACATATTGACACATCAAGTGACAATTGAGCCACTTTTAATAAACAGGAAATAATAAACAGTTTATGTAATTTGTTCCTATGGATAATCTGCAGCTTCTTTTAGGCTGTAAAACACTTATAATTATAATTATTGCAATATTTTTATAAATTTGTCTGTGTGTAACTTTATGTTCATTTAATGTAATCCTTTAATTTCAGTTACTTCATCCATGTCATTTCATTCTTAGGTTGGCTGGTTTGTTTTCATTTTTTTAAATAGCAATTTTCTTAGTATTTCAAAAGATTGGTTGCTTCTGTATATCACTTACAGTTTGTTTATTTGTCACATTTAATTTTTTCCATAAGTGCAACATATCTCATTCGCCTGATGTTTAAACTAAAAAAAAAAAAAAACTCATTTCATCTTTGTAATTCTTGTCACCCTAACTCTAGACTAAAACTAGACTTTCCCCCAGTAACTCTAAACAAAAATTGTGCATCCATGTTTGTAAATTTCCCTCTTAAAAATTATAGTCTTCAAAATCTTGCTAACAGTCCCTGCACTGTAAAGTATTTCATAATAGAAAAAGGTCACTGTATTGACATAAAGCTGTAAAATGGTCATTTCCATTAAATATAGACAGCTTTTATAACAGTCTGTGTGTGTGAATCATATAAGCAATGTTTTGCCAATTATCTAGTCTGTGCATCATCAGGAACAACAACATTTGAAGCACATGGAGCAATTATTTTATAAGTTAAAGGTAAAGGACCCTTCCACGCCTTTAGGCTCCTGGGCATATAGGGCTAGACCCATATCTTGTAGACCAAGTGGCAATCGGTGGGTGATGTGATTAGCATCAGGCTGGCCACCTTTACTTACCAGGACTGAATCTGGTACCCACTCAAGGCTGGGTTCACTCGGCAGCCAAGTTCAGCCACGACCTTCCCTTCCACAGTTTCTAGCCGCTACACCACTTTATAATTGGATCATCAGAATACCTTTTCATACTCTGATGGGTGAGTTTAAGTAAACTATAACCAGAAATCTCTTAGGCTTTATTTGTATCTGGAATGCTAACTTCTATGTTGTCAGTGCTCATGTAAAGATGTATTGCATTACAGAAGGATCATTCTTCAAGCTGTATAGTTTGTTGACAGATTTTTGACAAAATAAACTTCAAAACTATTTTCACAATGTACATGAACTAAGAACAGATGGGCAATCAGAAACATGCATTGTAAAACAAAACCTATCTTCTTCTTCTCTTCTCTAGTCCTGTTCTGCCTTTTGGGGTTAGGTTTTGAATGTTTTTTTAGATTTCATTGGCTAGGGTATAAAGAATATAACTGCAAAGAAAATTCCCTGCTTCAGAAACTTTAAAAAATAAATTGCCTTGATGGCTTTTGTTGTTGTTGTTGAAGATTCTCACATTTTCTGTTACTTGAAGTTAGTGATCAGCCCATAGATTTCCTTCTGTCTTCTTCTTTTCTCTACTCTTGAAATGCCTCGTGGCGTCAGGGGAGGAAAAGATCTCTAGAACGGACCCTTATGTTTGCTTCGAATATAGTACTCTGATATTTCTGCGTGGTGGGTCGACCTCTAGGTCTGTTACCACTGTATCTGTATAAAATTGCTCTCTATTGTACCCTGTCTGCTTCCAATCTTGTTACATGGTCAAACCATTCGAATTGTTGTCTACCTGTAAAGTTCAGTATTGGTTCTGTGTCGATTCTCCTCCTGATATCGTCGTTCCTTGTTTGTAATCAGTTTATGATGTGTTCCTTGGTACATAAACAGTTACACAAATAAAGAATTATTATGCCATATATATTCATTGTAACCTGGAGAGCTTTATGCTGTTGCATTGCTGAATATTCATCAAAACTGTCTTTTTCCGTGTGTGATTAACCATATGTATCTTATGCTTAACCATATTTATCCTATGCTTTTTCAAATAATCTGTGTTTTACCTATCTTTATTAGGGCTAGCTTTTTAAAAAAAAAAACGTATTTACTCTTTAATTAGGAGTAATTACAGCTAGTTACATCCTTTTCTTACTCATTTACTAACCTGTTTGTTTTAATTTGTGTAGTATGATTTGTAGAACGATTAATGATAACCTATACGTTTTCATTGGATTTAATGTTTTCCTAGATGGTCTAGATTTTAAATACTTTTAGCAATTTCAGTAAGTTATACCTTTCCCTGTTTGCAGTTGAAGCTGAATCTCACAGTAAATACTATAAATATTTTCAAGATGTGCCGTAAAGGAAATAACATAGTGACTCCAAGAGTATGTGGTTAATAAGTCAAATGTCTTTGTCATGAAACCTGAGTTCTAATCCCCAATAAAATAATTGATTCTTGTCTGTTGGAGGTTAAATTACAAATTTTGATTTTAATTTTTTGCATGATGGCCACTCTGTCAAGCTATCATATTTTTTGTGCCTTTTTTTTCTAACTTAACTGGAAAAACCAGCACTGTTGTAATGTTAATGTTTTATTTGAAGAAAAAGTTTTGAGTCCTATAGCCTCTCTCTCTCTCTCTTTCTGTCCATTTTATATGATCCCTCTCTCTCCCTCTTACCCAACAGATATATATGTTTGTTCTCTTTCCCTCTCCTTCCTAATTGGCCTCTGCTTTGAGTTTATCAATGCAGCCTAAAGATTTTACCAGGAAATGAAATGGGAATTTAGGCCGACGAGTTGATGTTGACCACATTACCAATTCTATTTCAGAATGGTCTGTGAAAGTGAGCCATCGGCATTAAAGGGTGCTTTACTTTTTACTATTACTTGGTCCAATACCGTGTTGTTGAAGAACACAGTGCATGTCTTCCATAGACTTCCATTTTTAACCTTTGCTGACCACTGTGTCCATTAGTGTATCCAGAACATGTTTGCAGTTTGGTCTGTTCATTTCTTCTTCTTTGTTAATTATTAATAGGTTAAACTGTGAGGATTCTTTACATTGGTATCAGGTTTTTTCTAGAGAATGCATTTTTAAATTGACATTCAACAACCCACTAGGATTCATGCTTGCATGGTTACTTTCTCCATAAGGATGTGTTGTGCTTGTATAATTTCATAGTATATATGTGATGTTTGCAAAGTATAGTGTCCGTAGTTTTGTGTTCTTTTCTGTCCTAGGTAGTCCAAGGTAGAAACACTTGGTTGGCTAGAATTTGTTTTTGACTGTTATTTCTTGAATATTTGTATAGATACAGGCATTACATTTCTGAAAGTCACCCACATACATCACTTTGTGTCTGTTAAGGAAGTATGTAAAAGTAAATATCACCACAGGTGTCAGGTTTAGAAATATTTTGTACTAAATACTTCAGAATGTATATAGAACTCGGCAGTTGAACACTTGTGGCATAACATAATAGTATGCAACTGTTATAGTACTGGGCTGGTGGAATGAGTCGTGGCTTTGCACCGGCACTTGAAATGTACCTTGGCTTACTACTTATCTGCTCTTGCCATGGCTCACTCTCTGGATGATTAATTCGCACTGCTCTAACGTCTAGGATTGATAACATAACCCTGCTCGCTTCCTTGTACATGCTGTCTGTTTATTCCGTTACATTTATTCGACATGCTCCAACAACTATTCACACTTCCATCGCTTACGACATATTAAAACAATAGTCATTTGCGCGACATAAAGACTACATCTTCTGCTTACACAACTGTCTCCTATGACTTCTGGTAACTAACTGACCACGAGGCTAGCTCAGGCTTTCCCTTGCTCTATCAGACATTTCTTTAATCGGCGAGGACTAAGAATAGTCAACATCTTTGGTTTGATCAATTTTTTAAAATCAAATAATCCCGTGTCTGGTCAGTGTTTCCGAATAAAATCGATTTTTACATTGAACAGAAATGGCTAAATCGGCTGTTTAAGAGAGCATAGATCCTACACATACTTCAACTTCAGCATCCAGTCTAAGTATTTGCTGTCAAATATTATCTTTTCCTATGTCTAGATCTTTCAGCTGTCTTATATCTTATGACACACAGCACAATTTAACCTAGATCGTCCCTTCATATCATGGATAAAAAAAATTATTAATTCTCAACAAAAACAAACTGCTTGAAAATGTTGTAGAACACTGACAATTGAATGAACTTTGGGGTCGACGCAGCCTGAAATAAGTACCGAAGGCCAATACAAATATGGTGAAAAGTAATCAACCAGACAAACATTGGGACTAATGAGCCTCATTTGATATCAAACAACAAGTAAACGTTGCTGCTAGATTGCCGTCATTAGAACATGACATGAGAAGATACGATCATCAGATACACGGTGTGGTACTGGCGTACTTTGCTTTCATATGTGTACTGTATATCAAATACAGCAGTAAATTCACCGACCAATTAAAAATACTCATATAGAATATCTTATCTTTTAAGTTAAGAACAACGTGGAACACTGAAATGCCTGACTGACTGACTTTCTACCCCACCAGGACATCACACAAGCGATAAACACCCGATGACACAAAGTGCCACCATGTGGATGAGGATCACCGTGGAGAGGTCCCAGAAACCGCGTTCAGACAATTCGCCATATCTAAGGCCTGCCTATATTGCGGCCCCTGGCAAAAGCCAGAGTTGGGCTTCAAATAACAAAAAATTACGTACTAAAAAGGACGTAAGGAGATGTGTTACTGAAATGCCTACACAACCTTTGAATCGAAGAACATGCCACACCCTACTGCATCCGGTTCAAAAAACCATTTTGCGTCTTTTTATTTGATGGAGTGCTGCCATCTGTCATATTAGTACGCTAATACGCAGTAGTACCATGATAGTTTATTGCCATAAGGTTAATCTAATGCGGATTTCATAGTTATACAAACTTTATTATTTTTTTTTTTTAATAAACATTATTATTCCTTTCTATTTGGCACCCCGAAAATGCCGCGTCCCCTTGAAGATTCACACATATTCTTCTTTTTGTTTACTACTGGAATGTCTCGCGGCGTCAGGGCAGGAACCAATCTTTGGGTCAAGCCCTTCTCTTCTCTTCATATATAGTACTTTTCAGTTCTCTGATATTTCTGCGTTGTCGACCTCTGGCTCGGTTACTGTTGTAACTGTGTAACATTGCAGTCTTTGGTGCCCTGTCCGATGCCAGGCTTGTTATACGGCAAAACGATTTGATTTGTTGTCTGCCGATCAAGTTCAGTATTGTTTCTGTGCCGCCTGTGGTCCTCTCCTGATATCATCGGTACTAAGTGATTTTTCCTGGTTACACTAGTAATGTAAATACCTAGTACGTACATTTCATATCTGTGTAAACATTTCAAGTCTGTGTAAACATTTCATGTCTGTGAAAACATTTCATGTCTGTGTAAACATTTCATGTCTGTGTAAACATTTCATGCCTGTGTAAACATTTCATGCCTGTGTAATCATGTCATCTCTGTGTAAACATTTCAAGTCTGTGTAAACATTTCATGCCTGTGCAAACATTTCATGTCTGTGTTAACATTTCATGCCTGTTGTAAACATGTCATCCCTGTGTAAACATTTCTTGTCTGTGTAAACATTTCATGCCTGTGTAAACATTTCATACCTGTGTAAACATTTCATGCCTGTGTAAACATTTCATGCCTGTGTAAACATTTCATGTCTATGTAAACATTTCATGCCTGTGTAAACATTTCATGTCTGTGTAAACATTTCATGCCTGTGTAAACATTTCATGTCTGTGTAAACATTTCATGTATGTGTAAACATTTCATGCATGTGTAAACATTTCATGCTTGTGTAAACATTTCATGTCTGTGTAAACATTTCATCTCTGTGTAAACATTTCATGCCTGTGTAAACATTTCATTCCTGTGTAAACATGTCATCCCTGTGTAAACATTTCATGCCTGTGTAAACATTTCATGTCTGTGTAAACATTTCATGTCTGTGTAAACATTTCATGTCTGTGTAAACATTTCATGTCTGTGTAAACATTTCATGACTGTCATGACTGTTTTCTTTCTATTTGAGTTGTCTTTGATGCTGCACATGTTGTACATGACTAAATAAAGCGTGTAGTCTGCATGTTGTCTTTACAATCGAGACAGCAAGCATAATAGTAATAATAATCATCATGTTAACACCCGGTACCCACATAAGGCTAAGTTGACTTGGGAACAAGGGACTTGAAAACAATCCGCCACCGTTCGGATTTGAACCCAAGACTTTCAGATCCGCCGGCGAGCGTCTAGCCGCTACACCAAGGCGTCTCGACCAATTTAAATATTAGACGGAGAAAAAAGCAACACATCTGTGCGAGTATAATGCACTGATTTGTTACGTGTGTTCTTAGAAACACTTTATGACCACTGGTTCCATGGAAAAATCAATACGGTAATTTATCAATCCCACGACCTCGCTGAAAGAAAACGGTATGTTTGTCATGGTAAATAAAGAAACATTGATCTGTTTCTACTTTAAGATGTTTATTCTCCTATCTGAAAGCCTGCTATATTTTATAGTCGATTCAGAAACGACTCGTGTTTATTATATCGTGAGGCCAGATTCTGTCGGGGTTTGACAATTTTATTCTCAATCCTCGACTAGTTATATAGTTAATATTGTGTGAGCAGTTTATTCTGTGTAATTGTTAAGCCGATTCTGATTTCTTACATTTTAGTTCGCTTTGTAATTTTGGCATTTATTAGAAATGCTCATGAGTTCGTGTGATAACAATGATGCATATGTGTACTGTTAAAACTGTGGTTTTGGAATGTTATTGGTCATGATTACTGGTAGGTACACTATTAGACCTGTATATAAATAATGTGTGTGTGTTCAGAAGGACAATGAATTTATCTTCTGTCTATAGCAATGCCATATGGCGCTTTTTATCTTCCATGTCTTTGAGTCATTTCCGATAATCTATTTAGCTGTGTCCTGAAAGCAAACCGTTTAGAATTGTGCTTCTCTTCCCTTCTGAAGTAATTGTCGCGACGTGTTCACTATTCTCGTCGGTTGCGTGTTATCAGTTCTCTTCATCAATGCATTTCTTTCAGGGCGTCTTCAATATTGTATTTGTCTATGGCGCCCTCGTTTTATAAAACACATCTTTGCAGCTTTCATACAATTTCAGCCGATCTACTGATTGTCCAAGATTCACTGTTGTACAATCAGACAGTTACTGGTGCCATCTGAATTTTAACTCTTCGCTTGTTGCTGAAGATATGGACGGAACGCTTATAGGGGTTTCCTGAGTGCTCTGATGTCGATTCTTAATTCAACCGTCACTTCTATACAATTGCTGCTAAAAAGTGCATAAAAACTGTGTTTTTCTCTTCACTTGGCAAAGATGTATCCCATAGAATACCGTACATTTGACCAAATACTGCTGTAGCTTGGACTGTACTTTAATATATATATATATATATATATATATATATATATATATATATATATATATATATATATATATATATATATATATATATATATATATATGTGTGTGTATGTGTGTGTATCCCCTGTCTGCTCTTAAATAGGTACCCGCATATTTGATCACGTACATTTGTGACAGTATAATAATCCTTGCCAAAAGTACATTTATTATGTTTTACGAGTCCTCTTTCCTTTTGTTTTTTAATAGGTGTGTATATATTTTCCAGGAGCAATTTTTTGCTTGTTGACATTCATAGACCAAGAAAAAGCCTTCGTTAGAGTCGACAGGAATATGTTGTGGGAATGTATGGGAAAAAAAGGAATCAGCAATCATCTTATTAATATTTGCAAAAGTCTGTACACACGTAGTGAATGCTGCACAAGATCGAAGGCAGGGTTGTCAAGAACTTTTATAGTGAACTCTCGTGTGCGTCAGGGCTGTGTACTATCGCCGCTTCTTTTTATAACATACATGGACGCCATAAGTAGCGAAACATACTTTAACCAGGAAGAAGATATAACAGAATTACTTTTCGCCGACGACCAGGTACTCATAGCAGAAAATATGGAATGCCTACAGAACCACCTAAATCAAATTAGTAACAAAGGGGAGGAATATAACATGAAAATAAAAACTGCGAAGACAGAGACAATGATGATAGGAAGACATAAAGACAATTTAGAAATTAAATTAAAAAACAACACTCTGAGACAAACAGAGGAATTTAAGTATTTGGGAGCAATTTTTACATCAGATGGAAAACTGGACAGAGAAATTAGCTCCAGATGTGCCAAAACTAATCAAGTAATGGGTCAACTATCACCCCTGTTGACACACAAGCAGATTCCTCGGAGTACTAAAAGTAAAATTAATAGAACTATTTTTTGGCCAACACTATGCTATCAGTGCCAAACGTGGACACTTACATCTTCCAATGAACGTAAAATTGTGACAACAGAGATGAAATGCCTTAGAAGAGCTGCAGGAGTTTCAAGGAAAGACAGAATACAAAATCATGAAATCAGACGAATGCTAGGAATAAAGCCAGTCTTACAGGTAATCAAAGAACAACAAATGAAATGGTTTGGACACCTAACAAGAACACCCTCGTACTATCTGCCACAGCGAGCCACACTAAAACGTTACAACGGGTATAGAGCGAGTGGAAGACCTCGGAAAATATGGAGTGATGGCATTAAGAACAGCCTTTCAGAAATGAACATCAGTCTTCTTGTCAGAGCTCATCAACGAACATTACATCTCCCCCCGACACTTCGATGAGGTACACGGTGGAAGAGAAGAAGAAGAAGAAGCTAGCTAGCTAGCCGAGGCTGCTAACAGTCTCCGCCTATATTTGTGGTCTGTGTTATTAGTGTCACTTTCGTGACTAAATTCTAGAATTGCGCCATTTCTGGGCTTGATGCTTCCATCCGGTTCCGACCGCTTGTCCTTCACCCTGTTGTAAGCTGTTCGTTTCTTTCCTCTTCTTATCTGGTGTCTCCTCTTGGTGTCATCTCTCTCTGATTTGGCCAGGCGTATCTCGTAGGAGAGCGAGCTTTTCGACACAACGTCCTTTGGACCACCGTATCAGTTTTTACAAATCTCCAGGATTTTTCGCCTGTACTCTTTTCAACATCTTCTACTTGGTAGGTTCTGAGCTTGGCCCATGCATCTGATAATTGTGCCAGTAGGTCTGTGGTCTCTTCAATCTTTTCATCAAGTTGGCGTTTCTCTTCCCTGGTGGACTCGAGGCTCTCTGACTTCGTGGTCCAAGCTATTGGTTTCTGTGCCTTGGTCTGTGCTTTTTGGTGGTTCAGTCATCTGTGACTGTTAGCTCGGTCAGCTCCTTCCTTCTCTCCTCCCCTTCTTTCTGTCGGCGCTTATCGTCTGCTACCTGGGTCGCTTCAAATCTGGTGAATAAGCTCTCGTGCGTCTCTGCTTTTTCATCGGCGGCCATGGCTTTCTGCTTCTTTAGCTCTGTCTTCAGTTTAGTGATCGCGCGCACTTCAGGGTCTCTGGTGGTAACCTTCTTCTTCTCCGGAGTTCTGCTTTTGGCTGGAAAGGCAGGCTGGCTTTTCGCGGTGCTCGGTCTGGTTGCCTCGTACCTCTTCTGGTATCTGGATCCAGCAGTAGACAACACCATCTTCATCACTTTGAGTTACGGACAACCCAGATACCTCGCGCTGTGGGCCCATGCACAGTTTGAGCATCGTCTGCTGGAGTTGAGCTTTTTGAAGTCTAAGTCCACCTTGGCCAGGGGGCACTCCTTGAAGTTGTGTAGCTTTGAGCAATAGCGGTACGTTGGTTTGTTGCGGCAGGTCGCGGCTGAGTACCACGCCTTATTGCAGCTGAGCACTTTAACAATTCTGGGGTGTAGGCTCCCGGCTGCTGCTGCTTCTTGTGTAGCTGGGTGCTGGTGTCTCTGTGCGCTGGGGCGACTTTTGTGGGTGGTATCGTCTCACTAGTGCTGGGGCCTCATCGGAGGCTGACGTCTCGATAGGGCCGTCTGTCAGTGCTGGTATCGTCTACACCGTTGGGGCTGGTGCAACGACAGGTGCACCCTTCTTGCTAGCTGACGTCGATCGGGTGTCTCCGCGCTGATTCTGGTTCTGCTAGCAGTTCTTACCGCGGCCACGTCCCATCTTGTCAATGCGGTTAATTAGGCGGTGCCTATCAGGTGCTTAGCGAAAACTTGATATCTGAGAGGTCGGCAAGACTTGTTAAGAATCCTGAAAAGGACTCCAAGTATGCTCTCCAAACAGTATTCAAGACAATCGCTTTGGTAATGGTGCGTGTGCGGGCTGCTAATAACCCAAACGTAGCCGACCAAGAGAGCTAGTCGAAACTGACTCAGTCGAATATCAGGCGAATCGGTGTCAAGTATCTAGCTATCGAGAATCTGGCAACGAATGGATAGTTAGCGTGCGACGAGACGAGACACAAGCTGCCTATCGGGCTGTTGAGCGAGCGAGTGTTGATTGTTACTGTTCAACGCAAGTTACAGAATTTAAATATCTAGGAAGTATCTTGGAGGACGAAAATAGATCAGAAAATAGAACCAAAATATCAACCAATCAGTGCACGTACATACCAACTGACACCGCTATTAAGACATCCAAAAATAACTATGAGCACCAAGAAACATTATAAAACGCATATTCATACCAACAGTGTGCTACCAGTGCCAGTCTTGGACATTATCAAAGGCTAATTTAGGTAAACTTAACACATGTCAAATAAGATGCCTGATAAAAGCTGCTAACTTAACCATCCGAGACAAAGTTAGAAATCATATTAACAGACAGACTATATGAATAACACCACGCAGCAAATACAATGAGAAACAGAAGATCATTTGGGTTTTTTCATCTAGTTAAAATGCAACCAGAACAACTTCAAGCGTAGGCACTACACATGAAAGTTATGATGTTAAAACAAGAGGTTGTTTGCCCCAGAAAAAGATGGCCCCCACGCCGCTCACACGGGCGGTATAGGTTTTGGCGGAAAACGCAAATTAAGTAGCCGGAATTGACACGTGACTGCGGCTCAAACGGATATTTTGCGGCCGCCATCTTTAGTGCCCGTTAATCGAAGGATAGCCTATTATATAATCTTATTGGGCCCTCCTTTATTAAGTGAGCTGTATTTTGTTTTGTAAATAAAGATGACCACATGTTGTTAACTGCATCAGCGAGTGCGCGATGACTCACAGCAGGGAAGGAGATTCTTTACTTGTGTCATGCAGTGTGTATAGCTAACATTTTGCTTTGTTGTATATTTCATATAAAGTTTCATAGCTAACCTCCCTACTTTCTGCTTTAAAAAAGTATATAAATCTTGCTTTTCTTTTAGCAACTTGCTGGCCACATTTGGTAGAACTTAGAAAGTATACAGCAAACCATGCCAACTCATTTTATTATTCATTTGTTTGTTGAAGATGACATTTGTGTTCGAGTGGGAAGCACACGCGTTATTCAGTGTAATTTTATCAATACAATTAATAAAGGTATACAAAGATCAGAAGCGACATATCTATGTGCAGAATACTCTATCACCATCAGAAGATTTTCTGTTAGTATTAATAATTTCACCCTCATTGAATAGTTATATTTTTGTAGGTGCTCACTCGTTCAAAAATGTTTACTATACAAGATGTATATTTTGTTTAGTAATAATTATGAAGTATTCATGTCATAATACACATGTGCTTATTTGTCCTGTAATTCCATTTTGGAATGTCTCTTGTTTACCTTCAGCGCCGACGTTGTCGATCAACTCAAACGCTGTCTGCTGGCACCGACTCTGATAGTGACAGTGATGGATCACCTCCATGGAAATCACCTCGGGGGCCTAATGACCCGGGCGATGGGGCAAGAGGTACATCCAGCGGGAAAGGCACCCAATCTTCACAGTTGCGTGGACCACCAGGTGCTGTTGGGCGTTCATTGAATACATCTCGATCTAATCTCAGTCGGTTTCCTCGTCACAATGACTCGCAAGACTCTAGAATCATGAAGAAGAGCTTTGGCGCGAATGCAACGATGGAGTCAGAAAGCGAAGAGTCAGGCTATGGTGACACATATGGAGATACACTAAACGCGCTGAGCGAGGATCATTCCTTTTTCATTGATTCTGAACAGCTTCACACACCAATGACTGACATTGAATCTGATGATGAGTCCACTGGAACTTTCATTAGTGGTGAATTTATATCCGTAGATTCTGAAAACCTCATACATGTAGGGACCCAGACTCCTGGTCATGTGCGAACCCAGACACAAGAGTGGAACGATTTCCGACAGACAAACACGACACAGACGGAGTTCTCTCCACGTGCTGTAGGAATGCAGACATCTACTACATCACTACATTCGATTGGAGCCCAGACTAAGAAGCTGAGCGGTTCACGAATTAATCTACTGAAAGGTATTTTGTCAGAAGTGAAAAACATCAAAAAGCAGCACGACTTGAACGTCTCACGAGATGAAATCTCTATTACTTCAGACATGTCGATAAATGGGGACATATTAGATCATCTGTATTGCGATTTAGCTAATTTAAGAGAGGCAGGGGCAAAAGGTGATGCTGCGACACAGACACAGAATGATCAGAGTTCACAAACATCCAGACGGTTATTTCATGAGGTTGACTCTCAGATGCAGGCTCGACAGTGCAGAATGAATGACATGCTTGATGAAATACGGCGACTCAGAACTGAAAATCAGAGTATTGCACCTAGTTATGCTCAGAGCAAAATGTCAGACTTTGGTGTAAGAACTCCATTTCAGTCATCAAGTAGAAACATGCCAGCAGAACTTGACTTCCATCGGTCATTTACTCATCAGCTTCAATCACCAGTAAGGTCTGCGCGAGAACAAAGTATTAATCATGCTCACTGGTCAGCAGTGGGGATGGTTGACAATTATCCGCAAGCCGTTAGTGTGGGGATGCCTGGTGCAAGTCGTCATGTGACTCAGAATGATTTAAATAACATAAATGAGAGACTTGACCGTCTTCAGAAATACCGAATGCCGTACCAAGAAGGATCTCTTCCTACTTATTATCAGCAGCATGACATGGCAAAGCCACCTCAGACTCGTACAGTTGCATCCCGATCGCCAGCCACGCCACGTCACCGCTATCGTGTCCAGGAATTGACCAGATCCTATGATGATATTGACATTCTGTCAAGCGAGAGGCGCCGAAACAGAGCAGGGCAGACATTCAGAGATGGTGTCATGGACAGGTATCACTTGGACGACGCTTTGCTTGAAGCCACTAGGTCAGCGAGACAGCTGAAACGCATGTCAGCGAAGATGAAGCTGAAATTACGAGAAGAGCTGAATAGATCGCGATACTAAACAGTTTTTAACAAAACTCCAACTGGTCAACAGCTGCTAATTGCAGGCAAATACCAGAAGGTTATAATCCAGTGGCCCTTGGTCTGGATATAAATGACAGAACAAGTCAGTATATGAAGGGTAGAAGTTTCGCATGTTTTAACGTTCTGTTTCACGATCAGCGTCATCAGTCTCTACTTGTGTCCTTTTAAGCGTCTTGACGAGAAACTGTTTGCTATCCATTGCTTGATGGGTAGCAATGGCTGTTGTCATTACGTGTCGATGTAGAAGGGTTTTAATGTCATTATTCAATGCTCTCGTAGGGCGACCTCTTGCTTTCACATTAAATTGTGTCACGTGTACATGTGTGTTTCTTAGTTGTTCTGGTTCTCATACCTAGAATATTTCATTTAGGTTAGGGTGTTCACCTTACGGATCATTGGTCTTAAGTTCCATTCTTCATTAAAGCACAAGAATTTTGTTTATTTAATGTAAAATGCAAATTCGTGCAAACGACGGTTTTTTTTTCCACCCCATCTCGGGGATCCCAAGATTTCCTGGAAGTCCATTAGGGGGGGGGGGGGGGTGGAGGGGTTATGGTTAGTCTGTGTTCCTTTTCACATCTAAACTGTTGGAATTTCCCACGAAATCTCGGAGTTGCCAAAATTTAGTGGACAAAAAGAAAAGGGCCCAAATGAATTTTCGCTTGTCAACCCAAAAGTAGACCACATTTGACAAATTACAACACTGCGCCAATAGCCAGTCTCCGCCAGCAACATGTTTATTCTTGGGCATTTCAGTTGTATTGGTTTTAATTTAACATGTTTCAACAATCGGCACATATGAATTCTGTTACATTTGATGATTTATGTTTACAGTTTTACAGTAACTAATGCTTGTTTATCTCCCCCACCCCCAATTAAATAGTTCCATACACTGCCAAAAAGGAAAATAATGTCCTCATAATTTTGGCATTCAGAATCTTTGAAATTTAATGAGTAAATTGTTCAGATTGCACGCAGGAATACTTTAGGGTTCAACCAGTCAATTGACAGCACTTTAGCATCTGGGTCGTCAATAAATGTTAGGCCTACGGGCTTTGACGTCAACTAATAAACATGCGCTATCGGATAATTGTGCATTTTTATAAATGTATTTTTGCATTGTTTTAATGGAGAACGTTTGTTTATTACGTCGCTAAAAATTGTTTAAATTTATATATTTTTAGTGAATAATGCTTGTTTATTTCGTCAATATAAATGGTTTATAATTACAGTGTTTTGCTGATTAACGCTTGTTTATTCCGTCCATATAAATGATTTATATTTACAGTGTTTTAGCTTAGGATCGTTTTTTCCGTCCATAAAGATCGTTTATGTTTACATTCTTTCAGTGTCTAACGCTTGTTTATTCCGTCCATATAAATGGTTTATATTTACAGTGATTTAGCTTAGGGTCGTTTTTTTCCGTCCATAAAGATCGTTTATGTTTACATTCTTTCAGTGACTAACGCTTGTTTATTCCGTCCATATAAATGATTTATATTGACAGTGTTTCAGTGACTAACGCATGTTTATTCCGTCCATATAAACAGTTTATATTGACATTGTTTTAGTGACAAGTGTTAATTTCTACCGGTCCAGAATAAGGCCATATATTTACCAGGGCTTATTTTCTCCTATGGAAAACATGTGCTGGTACTCAAAACAAAGTGTGTAAATACGGTGCCGGTACTAACCAGAAAGTTTGTAAAAAAGGTGCCGGTTCTCACCTCAGGGTGTCTATTACATTAGCGATATAAATGCCTTTGAAAGGCTCTGGTTCTGCGTGCCACCAGAAAAGGAAACAAATTAAGTTTTTAAATAACGTTTGTTTTTTCCTTGCAGATAAATAGTTAAAATTTACAATGTTTTAATTAATACGTGTTTACTCCATCCAGTTACAAAGATTCTATTTAAATGTTTCATTGATAGTCTTATCGAGTCTCTAGAGATGAGGATATACAGAATGATGAAGAGGTCATATTTCGTTAAAACTAAAACGACCAAATACAGAGAATCTGAACAGCTAGGAATGAAAATATGGTTGCTGAAGGAAACCTAGAGAGTGGGGGTGGGGGAAGACACACACACACACACACACACACACACAGAGAGAGAGAGAGAGAGAGAGAGAGAGAGAGAGAGAGAGAGAGAAAGGTGAAATATTTAAGCCATATTTGAATAAATACTACTCTTTTAAAAACCATACTGGAGGAGAGAGCTGAAGGCAGACATACACGAAGCTGACGAATGGAGTGATAAGTATCATCAGGAGATTGATAAAAACAGTCTGAGAAAGTGTACTACATCCTAAACGAAAGACAGCGCGTGTTAGAGATCCATTGCAGACATTTTTCATTGTAGTTAAATGTTTAATGCAGAATCGACATCACAGCACCCAGGACACTCACATAAGCGCTCCATCCTTATCTTCGGCAGCAAAGAAAGAGTTCCAATTCCAATGGCACCAGTAACTGCCGGATTGTATATCTGTCTCGCCCTTCCCCTGGGTGTGGAACGTCTGTCACATCCCCTGGTAACTCCTTGCAGCGTTATTCTCCTCAGACTGTAATGGTCTACCTATGCCTCCGCACTGTTCACTCGCTCCCAAAGGGCCCTTACAGTATCTAGCTTGTCATACATCAGTTCACCACCAAGTGGTACAGAGTCGGTCAGTCTGTCTGCCTGTTCAGTTCCTAACGCGTAACCCGGAACAAATATCCAAAGGATGCTGGCTAGCCGGGAATCCGAAGTGATGCTTGTCAGAGTGATGCTTGTCACTCTGTATGGAGCATGCCTGTGTTTACCGTTCTCAACATGCTCTGTGAGTCAGTTACAATCACTCACTGCACGTGTGCACAGCTGATTCTCTAGAGTCGGTTACAATCACTGACAACACGTGTGCACAGCTGATTCTCTAGAGTCGGTTACAATCACTCACTGCACGTGTGCACAGCTGATTCTCTAGAGTCGGTTACAATCACTCACTGCACGTGTGCACAGCTGATTCCCTAGAAAGCGGAAGGCAACAGTTACTTCCTCCACCTCCGTTCTCAAACCAGACGTTGTGATATCAAATGCACGGCTTTTTTTTTTTTTGTAGAGAGGGCACATTATTGTTTGTTTGTGTAAACAGTGCTCTGTTATTCCGTCCGCTTAAGTGGTTAAAATTGCAATGTTTCAGTGAAAAGTTCTTGTTCATTCCTTCCATATAAATGACTTAATTATTTTTCAGCTCAGTGAATAAATTTTGTTGTTAGTGTCTAGTTGCTGTGGTTTATTTTTGCATTGTTTCAATGACTAACAGTTGTAGATCTACATTCAGATTCGCTCGGTCTCACGTGAAATGAGAAATGACAGCGTAGATCGATTTGTTAGATAATACACTACATAGGTATTATAAATTTACTGATCTTTTACTGTGTGACCTTGTATTCCTCACCCAGATATGTAATTGTAGATTTACATTTTGGTATGCTTCCATTTTTTCTTTGTGTGATCCTTCTGTCATAAAACTGATATCAGGAGGTCGGTAGCCTTTATAAAAGCTGTGGTGATGAAAGCTATCTTGCAGTCCATATCTTCTAATGTACCATATAGTTTGCTTCCAATTGAATTGTGTGTGTTTGTTTTATCGTGCTATTATAACACCTGTAAAGAATATTAAATATTTCATTTAAATTTGTACCTAAAACAGAACGAACATTTGTATTGTATATAAATTTCTGTTTTAGTACACTGATTTACATATTATTAAACGAATGGTTTTATGATCTACCTTCGCCCAGTGGTTTATGTGGGGTCAGGTAGCCAGCATTTAGCCAGCCAGTTGAGTACTGTAACATGCATTTTATTTCTAAACATTTGATATCATGTACTTTTTATATTTATATCAATAAGAGAATATTGGATTGTAAATTGTTGTTTATGTGTTGTTGTTTTTTTCTTCTTCAGATAACCTATGTTAAATCATATATACACATTGAACAAACCTGTTGGTGAACTCATTAGTCCTGACCAGTTGAATTATTCCACGATTCTTAGCTATTCAATAATTTTTCAGCTGTTGCTTTACTCCATTCTGTTCCGGTTTTTATCTCAACTTCAACATGACTCCACAATGTTTTAGTCATTAACTCAACTTTATATTATTCCACTCTGTTCTAGTTATTAACTCATGGCGTTCTCAGCTTGTTTTTACTTTATTCTAGTTATTAACTGAACTTCTAGACTAGTCCACTCTATTCTAGTTATTACCTGAACTTCTACACTAGCCCATTCTATTCTAGTTATCGACTGAACTTCTACACTAGTCCACTCTATTCTAGTTATTGACTGAACTTCTACACTAGTCCACTCTATTCTAGTTATTAACTGAACTTCAACATTTGTCCACTCTGTTCTAGTTATAAGCTCGGTTTCTATATTATTGCAATCTGTTCTAGTTGTTAACATCCACATTATTCCACTCTTGTCTAGTGGATTCTACTATCATTTCAGCTTCCGCTGGCATGCAGATATTTTATTTTAATGTGGTTTTTTCTTTCCATTCTAATATACGAGTTTTCTGTTAGATCACTTATACGTTGTGACAGATAGGTTTCAGTCTTTTCTGCTGGTCTTCTGTCCACAAAGTCATCAGATGTAAACATTAGCCTTGTTAAAACAGGTTTGCCCGTCTTGTGATTAAGGCATTTGAAATATGTATTCCTTAATCAAGTTGTTAACTTAGAACTTTGACAAAAAGCGCATTGTAATTACTAGTACTTAACTACAAGTGGCCTCTCATCAGGTGGAAGCATGGAGTCATGTAATGAAGCTTATTTGCTGAATACCAATTTAAAAAAAAAAAGCAAGTGCACTTTCTTAATGCATGTGTGTGAAATGAGGCATTTTGTCACGTTTTAACTATTGCATTACCTGTTTGAAACAGGAAGGTGCCATGCATGACAAGAGATGTTGACTGCACCCTTCTCCCAC